TCCCGCCACCCCTGCCGTGTGCGACCCCGGCCTCACTGTCTGATCGAAATTGTTCGCACACCCACTCGTGCGTGCTCTGACACATGTGCCCGTACGTCCGTCGGTCCACTACGGCTTTATCTCCCTCTTCTCTGTGTCCTCTGCCGCCTCCCTTCGCACCGTGTACATGCATGGCCGCGAGTTCGCACCGCGTCCCGCACCACTTTCGAGGCGTCGCCTCCGTGGTTGTGAGCCGCTCCAGCGCGAGTAGGATAGGCTATACCCCCCCGTTCGCAAAAGCCAAAACGGCCCGTTGGCAGAGACCAGTCAGAGCTAGACGCGGCACAATCGTGCGGCGCGACCACCACCACTTAGTATACACCTTAAGGTAGTATCAGAGCCATCAAAGTCGCAGACGCACACACGCCCCTCTCAAGGTCCCGCTCTCTCCCACACCTCACCCGCCACGGCCCGCCGCCTCGCCCAAACACACGCGGCCGCCCTCGCGCCCCGCACCGAGAGTCGCCCCACCGAGAGTCGCCCCACCGACACTGGGCTTGCTCTCTGATGGCGCGCGGCTGCTGACGACGGCGCCGCAGAAGAGGGCGCGCAAAGAAGTGCAGCAGCGGAGGCGTCTCACTCACACCCTGCGCACACACACCCCGCTCCCGCCTAGCCCCACTTGTCGCCCATGCCCGACTTGAGCATGGCCGCGATGCCGGGCGGCGGCGGCGCCGGCATGCCCAGCGCCTAGTCCACAGCTGGACGTGTGAGGAGCCGCTGTTCCCACCTCGCTCCGTTCACACACACACCGCCGGCGTGTGCCCAGCGCCTGGTTGTACGCGAATGTGCCCACGTGCTGCAGGCCCTGCTGTATCTGCGTGCCGAGCCCGCTCTCCGGGTCGGCATTCTCAGCCGCGCCTTTCGCCACGCCTGCGGCGCCGCACCGGGCGTCACCGGCGCGGCCCGTGCCCTTCGGCGTGCGAGTGAGAGCGCCTCTCTCCCGCCCTCCGTCTCACGCGCCGTGGCATCACGCTCTCCCTCTCTCTGCTCTCTCTCTCTCTGCTCTCTCTCTCTCTCTCTCTCTCTCTCTCTCTCTCTCTCTGTGTGTGTGTGTGTGTGTGTGTGTGTGTGTGTGTGTGTGTGTGTGTGTGTGTGTGTGTGTGTCTGTGTGTGTCTGTGTGTGTCTCTGTGTGTGTGGGGGGGCGGCGCGCGCCGTCCGAAAAGCCGTTGATCATCGCCTTCAGGGAGACGCTGTCCTGCGCGAGGATGGGGCGGGGACGGCGGGGCGAGCCGAGCTCGAGCTCGAGGCCGAGCTGCTTCGACACCTCGCCCAGCCGGTGCAGCCCCTTCTTCACCCCCGCCGCCTTGACCCCCTCGTTCATGATCCCGACGTTGTCGCCCTTGTACAGCGTCACGCCGCCCTTCCCGCCGACGCCCGAGAAGAGAGCAATCGTCGTCGTCGACGTCGGCGTTATCGTGCCCATCTTGGGCAAGCTCTTTGGCGCTGGCGGAGGCGGCGGCGGCTCGAGGCTCTTGCGGGGACCACAGTCCCTGCAGTCGGTGCCGTAGAGGCAGGCGCTCGAGCTGGAGCCGCTGCCTCCGTCGTCGCACGTGCCCTCGCCCGTATAGTCGGTGACTCCGATGGCGCTCAGGTGCGCCAAGAGCTTGGAGCACGAGTTGGAGCAGAGCGGGATGCCAGGGCGGGCGGCGGCGGGCGCGGCGGCGTTGAGATGCCAGGCGACGGCACCGGCTCCGGTGGCGCAGAGGGCGAAGGCGAGCAGGGCAGGCGTGGAGAGGCAGGCTGCCGTCCGCGCCGTGCCGGCGTGCTGCGGAGCTTCTACGGTCAGCATGCTGGCGATGTCGTGGGAGCAGGCAGAGGAGGCGCGAGAGTAGCAGAGGAGCTGGCAGAGGAGCGTGCGGTCGCTAGTCCAAGGCGGCGTCGGAGCCTGCTTTTCGGCATTTTTTCTCTTTTTTGAGAGTGAACCCCACTTCTGTGTACTGGCCTTGAGTTATGTGTAAGCCGACTCAGGGTGTGTGGCAGCCCGCTGGCTGTGTGTCTTGTGAGCTCTTTTGTGTCTGTGTGTCGCTCGTGCGTGTCGTCATCATCTGTCCAGCGTCCACCCATACCGCGTTGGTGTCCAGTCCGAGCCTGGCTGTTCTTCACCTTTCTACCTACCTACCTACTGTTACTGCCAGTGTGCGCCAGTCCCGTGACCCGCGGAGTGTGTGAGTATTGTGACTCGAGAATTCATTCACTGCTTTGGGCCGCTTGGGACTGGCTTCGCATCCGCTGCGGATCAAAGACTAAGCTTCGACCGTAGATGGCGCTTTCAATCCTCCTTCCTGGCTGCAGTCACGGATATGGAGGGCTGCGTGCGGAAGGAGGACGTGCCGTTCATCTCACGATCTCGGCCTCTCACAGCAGCGGTGCGACCGAAACTTTTGCTGGGAATCAATCACGTCGCCTGTGCCGGCGCTGCCAGCAGGCACTCCGCACCTGGCGTATGAGACGGACGTGGATCAGCTTTGCAAATCTGAGACTGACGCCGGCGTCATCATCGTCGGCGCTCCCGCGTCGCTGCAACACATTGGGCTAAACCCCACCTGGCTTCCTCCCGCTAAATACAAAGGCGTGTCTCGCCTCGTCAAGTCTGTGGGACGGCCGAGCCTCGTTTCAAGGGGCGCGTGCGTGCGTCCCCTCTCGACTACGTTTGTTCACAGCCGGCGCGCGCGCCGGCGACGAATATGCGCGACTCGCCGCCGCGGCTCCGGGCCTCCAACGGCACGACCTACGCCCAACCACCGAGAGGCGCGCCGTCACACCACTCGCACAGCCTGCAGCGCGGCGCTGCGCCAGAGCTCGAGAGGGCCCGAGAAGGGTCCCAGATCTCCAGTAGCACACAATAGCACACGTAGCCACGCATACCCAACCATCCCCTGTCACCCCAGAGCAGATCCTCCCAGGCGGTGAGGTCCTTTCTGGTGCTTGAAGCTCACCCTCGTCCCCTGCCGCAGGCCCTCGGCAGCCGTCCTGGCGCGCGCCAGGGCATGTACCGAGCGACCCCAGCCCGCTCTGGCGCGCGCGTTCGGCGCCGATTGGTGCCCTAGTCGGACCGTGCAACGGACGCGCGCTCTGCGCGCCTCACACGCACTTGCCCAGAGCTCTGCGCAGAGGCAGAGAGAGAGCGCGCCCTCCCCCCGGGCTGCTGCTGGCGCGCCACGCGCGTGCGATCCCTCTCTCGCAGTCGGTGTTCGCCGGGCGAGTTTTAGAGCTAAAATACATGTACATCACAAGAGGCACACGCTGCTGTGGTCACCGACGGTCGTGTCCACATGCGCGCAATGGCGCAATGGTGGGCAGCGCCAACGCGCAGGACCATGTTTGCGCGCGACATGCACGCACGGGTGCGCAGGCAGGCGAGGCCATGCCAAAGACTGCCCTGGGAGTCGCGCGCGCGCGTCTCCAGCCGACCGGTACGGCGGCAAGAGCTTGACGGCTGTCGTGCCCGCAGCACGACAGCCGTCAAGCCGCGCAGTCGGGTGGACGCGTCGAGAGAGAGAAGGTACCGGCTAGTTCCATTTCACAGTGGCACAGCCCGCGTTACACAATCTTGATTTTGGTCATTTGCGCCATTTGGTATCTCTCGGTGCCTTCCAGAGGCAGCTGTTCATTGAATACGCACCGAGCACAGGCAATTATCCCGCACACCCTTGCGAGCGAATCCTCAAAACTTGCTCTCAAACTTGCACCTAATCCTGGATTCCGCGGCCGCCCGCGCCAATGGCCTCCCACCGCATCGGCGCCCGCGTCGCGGGCCTCTCGCCAGCGCAGCTGTGCGCCATCATCGAGGCGCAGGCGGGCGCGAGCGACGCCGCGCTGCGCGTGGCGGAGGAGCACGCCGCACGGCTCGTGGAGCAGCCCGAGTGGGTGCTCTCCGAGGTCCTCCTCTCGCCGGACCTCGCCCCGCACATCCTCGCCCAGCTGCCGACCAAGGCGCACGCCGCCAAAGGAACGTGCCGCGCGTGGCGCCGCGGCTGGAGGGAGACGCTGCCGAAGCGCGAGAGGCCGCGCATGCTCGTGTTTGGCGGCCGCGATGAGGACGACGATAACCTCAACTCGATGGAGCGGTACGACCCGTCCACAAACGAGTGGGAGGAGGAGGCTGTGGCGCCGATGCCTTCGGCACGTGAAAATGCAGGCATGGCGGTGCTTGATGGCAAGCTCTACGCAGCGGGCGGCATGAGTGGGGCTGACGACGCAACTTCCAACCTCTTGGAGCGGTATGACTTGGCTAGGAACGCATGGGAAGCGGTGGCGCCAATGGCGACACCACGCGCGGGTCACGCCGTGGCGATGCTCGACGGCAAGGTTTATGCCGTTGGAGGCTTCAACGGCGAGGACGGCTACCTCAGCTCGGTCGAGCGGTACGATCCGGCGGTGGGTGCGTGGGAGGAGGTGGGGCCGCTGGCGGCGGAGCGGGACGACCATGATGTGGCGGCGCTCGACGGCAAGCTGTACGCGGTGGGAGGCCACAACCTCGACGAGGATGGCTTCCCCAGCTACCTCACCTCGGTGGAGCGGTACGACCCGGATGCCAATGCGTGGGAGGCGGTGGCGCCGATGACGACGGCTCGGTTTCATCACGCCCTGGCGGTGCTCGAGGGCAAGCTGTACGCGGTGGGAGGCAGCAACGACGACGGCGGCTACCTCAGCTCGGTGGAGCGGTACGACCCGGGGACGGATGCGTGGGAGGCGGTGGCGCCGATGGCAGAGGCGCGGGAGGCTCACGCCGTGGCGGCGCTCGACGGCAAGCTCTATGTCGCAAGCGGAATGGGTCCCGGTTTAAATCGCCTCAGCTCGGTCGAGCGGTACGACCCGGCAGTGGGAGCGTGGGAGGCGGTGGCGCCGATGGCGGCGGTGCGGATGAAGGCTTTCGCTGTCTTGATGTAGTCGCCGTTGTGTGCGTGCTACAGTGTGTCGTAGCCCCACACGGCGTGGAGTGTGCTGAAGTCCCTCGCCTGAGTGTGCGGCGCGTGGCGCGTGCATGCCCCCGCCGCTTTTGAAAGACATTTCTTTTTGGTCGAGTGGAACATTACGATTCAACTGCCAGTTGAGACATCTGGTAGCCGTGGTGGCTTCAGCGCAAACATCGCGTTCCTGGATCCTGCCGCACGCGGCCTCGTGTCGCCAACACGCGCAGTGTGCCGGCGGCGAAACCCCGAAACCCCGCCGCCCCGCCTCCGCTGGTGCGGGAAGCGCTGCCACAGGCAGTGCCACACCGTGCCTGTTCACAGGCAGAGTTGTGGGGAGACGCCGGTCACGGCCCGCTGCCACAGGCATTGCCAGCGCGACGCCCAAATCGCCGCAGCGGCGGGCTGTTGCGCAGCGGAGACGAGATGGTGTTGGGGCCGCCGTAGTCGAGGACGTTCCAGCGGAAGCCGGGCTGCGGCAGAGGGACATACCTCTCCCCCGGCACCATCGGCTGCCTGAGGGGCGAGATGGCGTCCCGAGATGGCTCGAGGCTGCCGTAAACTCTTTCTTATTCTTCCATTGTGGTGGACGCGGGACGGGAGATGACGGCACGCTGGAAAGACATCCTGACCCCTCGAGACGCCCACAATCACGTCAGGCACCGTGGCACCCGCCACCCCCTACCCCTCCCCGCTCCCGCCGTTTTAGGGCCTTCCCCACACCCGTACTCTGATGTCATGTATTCGCCCGTTTTGGACCTCTTCGTACGGCTCCGAAAACCGCTCCTTAACGACGACTACGCGGCCCGGCGGTCGATCTGCGCCTTCTAAGCGGTGGAGGGGGTGTGGGCGGTACGTGCGGACCGCGTGGTGCTGCGATGGCTTGACGAGTGCGACTCCCAGCGTCGACTTTTCGACCCCCCGGAGCCTCTGCTGCTCCGGGGGGGGGGGGTCTGCAGACCACCCGGCCGAACTTCAGAGTCGTGGCGCTCCTCAAATACCGCTCAAACGCCCACGATGTTGTGGAGGGGACATATGCTGATGATCCTGGCCCGATTGGGTCGCTCAGAAAGCTTCTGGGCGGTCGTTAAGGTTCCATCGCTCCCCGCACACCGGCCCGGAAGTATGGTACCCTAGATAAGCTGGCCTCACCTCCATCGGCAGCTTTGCCTTCGCCGGCTGCTCCGCCCTGTCCCGCGTCTCACCGTGCCAGACACCGCCACCATCCCCAACGCCTTCCCGTCCGCCACCAAGGTCCTCCGCCTGCCGCCCGCAACGATGCGCTGGTGCGAGGCGGTGGATGGGGCTCTGGCCTACAAGCGCTGCCGCCCCCTCCTCTACGGCTGGCTAGAGCGGGCCAACACCAGGCTCGGCTCTTACGGCCCGGACGGCGCGGCGCGCAAGCGCGACCGCGAGGAGTTCGAGGCCGACTTTGCGCTTACCACTGCTCGCGGTCCTGACTGACATCAGGCGTGACTGTTGCTGCGGCTGGCTCCTCTAGTGCCTGAGAGAGTCTCATCAGACACACATCGGACGCGTTGCTACGTGTGCCAGCCGCTTCTGGCCTTCTATTCATGGTTGTGCATGTGTCATGTGACAGGGTGACGAAGGACGTGGGTGGGCCGGCGCCGGCGGCGCGCACACCCCGCCCGCACCCTGGCCGTCCGCCGCAGGCCCACTCCACGCTCCATATTTTCAGTGTATGTAGCTCTGTTCCATCTCACATACATAAGAGAGAGTACGTACATATAAGAACAGGAGGCTGGCACTACGCTCTGTCAATCTGGCGAGGGGACGACTGACGTCTGACCGCCGTACGGCCCCGTGCTGCACGCCCGCCGGGCCGTGCGCAGTCATGTCTCATGTCACATGTGTGCGGACCCCGTGCAGTCACTGCTGACTCGGACTCAGGTAATTTGAGAGATTGATCTCGCTGATCCACACACTGAGCGCTATTTGTAGACGAGAGGTTCAAAAGACGAACGGGTTCTTCGGCAACAGTCGGCTCGATGGCCAAACCGTGCCACCAAACTTCCCGATGTGCTGCTGCTTGGTGGCAACGGCTCGGCCCAGGAGATAGGACGCCATTGCCGTAGAGACGAGCAGCGCGTTCAAGTGCGAGGTGGGCATATTGGTGACCTGCGTTGGTTGGGGTCGTACGTGAGTGGAGCGGCAGCGGGAAGTGGCGTGCGTGCTCAGGTGAGCGTCGTCGTGGCGAATGTAATGACTGGTGGTGTGGCGATGGTATGAGCGTCGTTTGTGTGGCTGCTGCCGGCGTGTGGTGGCAGTTGTGGCGCTGAAGCAGAGGCCGCTGCGATGAGGGCTCTCCTTTGCGAGACGCGCTGGGAGCAAGGATGACAGGGGTATAGAAACTTCGGCGTTTCTCGGACCCAGAGGGGTTTTCTTTTCTTCCACCGCGGTGCGGGTAAATAAAACACACACACACACACATGCACACACCAACAACTACACTCCACCCCGGAGACAGACGCTCAACAACGAGCGCGCCGCTGCGGTTCCGACAGAGCGCATACACGCCGTCCATGACATCTGGCCCGCGCCGCCATAACCATCACACAGAGAGGGTGAGCTGCTAAACAGTACGCTTTCTCGCCGCACCACCGAGGTGCGCGAGTCACAGAGAGGGGGAGGAGAGGTGAGTCAAGAGTGTGCCGCTTCAGCTGCTGCCACGCAGCGTCTCGCGCTCGTCCGGGCTCTGGCTCCCATCGCCGCCCCCCTCTGGCAGCCTCCCCGACGCCGCCCTCGCGCCGTGCACCGAGCCGTTCCTGTAGGCTGCCCCCCCACCCTCGCCGTCCGAGCACTCGTCCGCCGCGGCATCCTCCGCGGCCGCCAGGAGCAAGCTCTTCTTATCCTCGCGCTTGCTCTTCAGCTGTCCGCGGCCGCCGCCGCTGCCGCCCCTCGAGCGCGCAACCTGCCGCCGGCCGTCGCTCTGGTCGGCGGCGCCCCCCTCCTCCTCCCCCTCCTCCTCTGTCGTCGCCACCGCCTCCATGCCCGCGCCGCCAGCCGAGCCCTTGCGGGGACGCGGCGGCGCCGCTCTCCGCGCGGGGGCAACCTTTGCCGCGCCCGCCCTGCCTCTGCTCGCCGCGCCGTTGCCGCACGTCTTCGCCGTTGCCGCCTGGTCCTCGGCGGCGTGCGCGGCGGCGGCGGGGAAGGCGACCCTGCGGTACGTGTCGCTGAGCGACGCCACCAGCGCCTTGACGTGCTCCGGTCCCAGCCCCGCCTTGGCCAGCTCCCCTGCGGGTGGGTTCGGGTACGGTGGGGTAGGGGAGGGTGGGTTCGGGTACGGTGGGGTAGGGGATGGTGGGTTCGGGTGTCGTGGGCGCGGCGGCGAGGTGGGGGGCGTGCTCTGGGGAGGCGTGGCGGCGGGAGAGGGCGGGTTCAGCAGCGGTGGGAGGGCGGCCGCGGCTGGGCTGTGGAGGCTGAGACAGTGCGAGCCGGGTCGTCGGCAGAGAGAGAGAGGGG